GGGGTCGCGACCCACAGGTTGAGAACCACTGAGCTAAGGGGAGCAGAGTCTCCTCCAAACACACCGTTTCCCATGGTGCCTGGTCCCAGCTTTGTTCTACTCACGCTGGGCTGCAGTTTCGACAGGATGACAATGAAATTGTTGGCCAGGGTGGAGAATGACTTCAGGATCCTGAGTTCAGCTGCCTTCTTGTGGTAGTTTCTGAACACGGTATTCAGGTAGAAGTTCAGCAGGGCACGGAGGAGGTAGCAGCTCTCAGCGCCCTGAGGAGGGTCTGGGTCATGAGGAAGCCGAGGCCTCTGCCCACCCCGGCCCTGGATGAATAACCCACACGTTGCCGGCGCAAGATAGGCAAAAAAGGAAGCAGGGGTCTTCCAGGAGATGCTGTTAAACATTACATGTGAAGGAGCCTTCGCCAACATGGACAGTGGCACCTTTGGTTTCTGGCAGGAACCACAGGCCCAGAGAAAAGCTTGCCCAGGGTCACACAGCTGGTCAGTGGCACACACAGGTCTAGTTTCTGACCCCCCTCCCCCTACCAGCATCTGCTCAATATTCTCTCTTCTCCACCCCCATGACCTCCTTAATGGCCATGTGGGGTGATAGACCCTGAAAAGCACCCAAAACTTGGTGGTTGTGAATTGGCTGGGAAACGGACTGGAAGGAGAAGAAATAAGGAGAGAAAACAGCATCCTTGAACACAGGGCTTGCACTCCAGCCCCCTTGAGAGTCACAGAGCAAAGCTCAGCGCCTTAGGGATCGGGGCAGTATCTGTGTGCTCGCTGGCTGGCTAGCTGGGTGACAAGAAGACAGAGATGGGTGAGAGGAAAAGGATGGAAATGGGAAGAGACCCAAGCAGATGCAAAAGAGAAAGATTGATGGCCACTCTCTGACCAAGTGGAGACAGATGTTTACAAGCCTTCGTCTCCACCCTCGCCCCCTGCCGTCACACGCAAGCCCACATAACCCTGGTTCTGGGTGCGAACCCCGTGCATGAACTTCCTTGGCTCACTGCCCAGCCCTGTCCTGGGTAGGCCCAGCCGGGGGCAGAAGGGAAGTCTTCTGCCAGCCTCCCCAGACAACGCCTCACCCCCACCCACAGAAGACCATCCATGCTCCTTCCCCAAGGAGGTGTGATTACCGAGACGTTCTGCAGAACCTCCCTCCGCAGCAGCTGGACACTCATGATGTTATCCTGAGCTTGCTGTGGGAACAGGATGAAAAGATGTCTCAGTTCGGAGGCAGCATAGGAACCAACCGTGCAAATGCA